GGTTAAATCTGGCAACGACTAACAACTAAACTACGGGAAAAGCGGATTCTACTCGTTGCTGTCTGCGCGACCGGAGGGAAGAGAGAAAGAGAGGTCAGGCCAGGGGCAAGGAGGCGAACTATGAGAGTAGAAATGAATAATATGATGCCCGTATTAAAGATAAACGAAATTAGTAAGATAATTAAACGAATTGAAAGAGTAAAAAGGAGTTAATTTCTAACGGTCTGCCAATGAGTTTCGTAAGAGAAGTGAGTGCAGTTCAAGAATTTCGAGAAATAATTGCATATTCACCACTTAATTCTCGGAGTGAGAAAATTACGAACGTTGAATTCTTTGTAGCTGAAACAGTGGGAATTTCTAAAAACGAATTTAATTATTTACTTAATGAACGATATTCATGATGGTTTACGAGAGCGGCAAGACTCTGCTGTCTCCTACAGCGTCCCTCACTGTGATGAGACCTCAGGTCAAAAAGTGAAAGTGAGAATGAATCCTAGATAATAATCACAATTTAAAAAAAATACATAGTAGTTGTCTCTTTTTCCCATCACAAATCAACGTGCGAATGTGTGACCATCTACTTCAAACGGCTTAATACACTTACGGGAGAAGGGAATGAATAGAAAGGAAAAACCCATAGTGTGTACACACGATCCTTGGGAGACATGGTCGTGAATCTTGGTAGCTTTGAGTCGAGCGGTTGGCGGGCGGAGATACGAATCGGTTATGTGAGCCGAAAGGTCCTCACTTATCGTTGCTACCCGCCAGTCCGAGTAGGAGTCTCTCTACACCAAACAGAGGCTCTTACAGCTAGCGGACATACAAGTATAATTATTTGCAAACCATAGTGTGCAAGCGTGCGCGCGCGTATATGCGTGTATTATGTAGTTCATTCACATACATATTTCTGTAGTAAAAATATCTTATCTTGGTTGAATCTTGGTTGATAAGATAGCGAACAAATGCGTTGGTGCCGAGAAAGATGATTCACTAGTAACCAATATCAGACAATGCTTACCTTCCTTATCCCCTGACACATATGCATACGTATATTTACATATAGTGATTCTTTGTAACATCCCGAAACGCTTTCATACATTGTTCCATGGTGTGCATGAAGTTTGTACAATTATTTTTTTCTTAATTTCACGTAAAGAGTCAATAGAAAAACATTAAATATGCTGGTGTGAATTTCAATTACAAGCAAAACATTGTGGGAGCTTCAAGTAAAATGGAAAAAGTAACTGACTACTCTTTTATTATTTATACTAAACACTCTTTGCAAGGCTGTGGAAATTCAAACATATTTCTCAGATTCAGTCAAAACATGTTTTTCTTATTACATACATGTTATTTGTATGAAACGTGAAAGTTGCATGAGATTTTGTATCTTATTATATCCACCGCGAGTGAATTCCGTGTCCGGATCAGATAACTGGATAATTACTTGTCTTATTGATTGAATTATATCAACAAATCAAGATGCACGGCCTTATTCCTGGTATTTCAGAGCCTGTAAGGTTATTTCATAGAGGTACAGAATAATTTTGATCGACATTCATCCCACCGAAGTCAATACCACGTTATATGACTTGGACACGTTAGAAATTCTTACCATGTTTCAGCGACCGTTATGATTGACTTCAAATTTTGCCCATGCATTTGATGTATTGCAAAAAAGACACAAAAAATATGTACCTTTATAATGGAGATTTGTATCAGGGCTTACGATACGTAGTTAAACAAAATATAATTCATTATCTGAGACTTTGTGAAATATATCTGAAAAATAACGCGTTCTGATTGGCAGGCCGGACTGTATCAATCAAACAAACAAATTGATACAATCTGAAAAGATGTTTCAACTGGTTCCAATAATATGCGTGTAGAGAGTAAACATGTATTAAGAGAGGGTTTCAAAAATGCTACAAAATAGACCTTATTGGTGTGTGTGTGTTAAAAGATAAACAAGTTAATACTATTCTACTTGTGTGCGTAATTTCATACTATAATGAATATATAAACACACACACGCACGTACACCCGCACACATACACAAACGCACACGCACACAAACACACACACAAACACACACAAGCACACACACATATACACACACATACACACACACACACACACATGCACACATACACATACACATACACACACACACATGCACACACACATGCACACACACACACACACACACACACACACACACACACACACACACACACACACACACACACACATGTATATATATATATGTGTGTGTGTGTGTGTATATATATATATATATATATATATATATATATATATATATATATATATATATATGTGTGTGTGTGTGTGTGTGTGTGTGTGTGTGTGTGTATATATATATGCACACTAGCTGAAAATGCCCAACGTTGGCCGGGTGAAATTTGCTTTCCAGAACACGAACTGTACAAAGAATGAAACAGCAACTATAAACAGAACATTACTATTTCTGGAACCAGATAAATCCCATATACCATAAATGATGAGGGAGGTAAGTGCTCTGGAAAACTGCAAATCACTCATCACAACACATCAGACAGCAGTTATCATATATTAAATAAAGTCATTTATTGTTTACAAACATCAAATAATTACGTCAACGCCAGCAGAAATGTTCCTACATGGCCTGCGGTCAGTGCCGTTGGCACCAACCATTTCATTGGCGTGGCTGTTCATTTGAGGATGTACCCTCCCGTTTGCGGTTTATTTATGCTTCAGCCATCTGCATGATTATATGGATTATATGGATCTTCTACAAATCTTAGTTTACCACCTATTTACCTATTAGCAAGCCTGAAGCATAGTGTGCTAATAGATAAGTAGGTTGTATTCAAAAGGGCATTCTCGACCAGAATATAGTTGATTTTTTACATTGTTCAACATTCTAATGTGCTAATCATTAAAAACATTCAAATTTTCATGCTTCCAATCTTCGACGCTATCGCATAAAGAACCATAGTTGTTTATAATGACGATAGTCATTGTCCGTAAATCGTTGTTGACTTTCTCACCATGACTTATAGCTGTGATGTTATATCCTATAGGAACTATTTCTGAGCCCAGTAGATGGTTTCTAACCAATTTTTTAACTTTTTTTTACACTCTCCCGGGGACGCTTCAGGCCATCTAAAGAAAGGTCCGAGCCAGTATGTCTTTATAGTGTCTACAGATACAAAAATGCGTTCAACTAAGAATGTATACGCTTAAATTTATATATATAAGGTAGATAGAGAATCTTTTCCCTAACCAGAAATATATGTTGAGTTCAAGTTACCTCTGTGTATCAGTTCATTTTTACGTATTAATTTATCTTGTTTATTTTTATTTTATTTTTTAATTTACTATTATTATTATTATTATTATTATTTTACTTTTGCAGGCTGCGTCGTAAGGCGGAGATGGCAGTTACCTTGGCTGTGGTCAGAGGCCCGGGTGAGCGCGTGGGCTCCGAAGGAAAAGCCGGCGTCCATCTTCGAACTCACGATGACCTACGGAGACTTTCACCTGGTGAA